CCCCAAAACCCCAAAACCCCAAAACCCCAAAACCCCTTTAACAACTCCAAAGCCTCAAAATAATTTCATTATTTCTGGAATATGCTGGGCAATTAGTACAAATTCAGCTTTGTGCAGATAATGACTTTGCATTGTTGGTCAAGAGATCACATAACTCCAAGGCCGAACTTCTCATCGTTCCAGTCAAGTGAGACTACAGGTTGTTGAGCAATTGACTTTTCATTCAATAGCTCTACTGTTCCTGGTACTCCATACTCTACATCATCAAGGTCTTTGAGGGATCTCTGAGTTGGGTATTTATATTTGTACAAATTAATAGAACCATTCCCTCCCAGAGTTGTGAACAAATCTCTATTCTGTGGGAAATGGGAAACTCCCCAAATTGTAGATTTATGTGCCATTTCCTCTAATCCACTATATCCTTTCTCTGGATGGTAAGTTCTCATATCAAAGACATGGAATTTAGATTCAAGTGTTGTACAAACAAGTTTGTTCATAGGAATATTTGGACGATCAAATTCTATACCACAGATACCATTGCTGAGGTTAGTATCCCATTGGAGCATGTTCATCCTAAGATCAAATAACTTTACATCTCCGTTGTCATATCCTGCTACGATACATCTCTCTTCTGCGTTGAATGCATTTCCGAATTTAACTCACCATCAGTCAGGTTTGATTTCTTCTGATTCGGATGGTTCGAGTGATACTACTGGAGATTCTTGTCTTGGGTCCCAGACTCTAACACAGCCGTCATAACCACCTGTAACCAACTCTGGAGCTCCATAATCGGGTCCTTCTCCTCCAATTCCATGGATAGTATTAGCCATGCCTTCATGAGCTTTGACAGAGAACTTTTCTTTACCTTTCTCTATATCATAGGTGATCAAGTTTCCATTGAAGTCAACGATAGAGACATCTCTATCTGTCAGAGAAGAGGCCTCGAAGGTCGAACATTTGATTCCATATTCAGGCTTGAACTCAGATACCATCTCTATCTTGCCCTTCTTCAACTGGAAGATCTGGAAGACTCCTTTTGCACTGGGGCTTTGACCGAATAGGCAGAATCTAGCACTGCAAGGGATCCATCTAGAACATTTTTAAGCTTTTGCCTGGAAAATTTAAATGGAGTTTAAAGCTTTCCCTTTACTAGGCTTAATAAAGGACCTCACTAATAGCTACTGTGATAGATGGTAAACGAAGACACTTACTTAACATCGAAAGGTGTAAAGGTTAAGCTATGAGAAATATGCTCTAAAATCTGGGGTGCATCACTTGTATCCATGTTTAAAATGCGGAAATATTTTAAATTCTATTAAAATATTCAAAATCGGGGTTTTGGGGTTTTGGGGTTTTGGGGTTTTGGGGTTTTGGGG